CATTTTCTCAATATTCTTATTTTGTCAACGAATTTACTTAATAATTGCATTTAAATCAATTAATTCTATTAATAAAGTGTTTAGTAATGTGAATGTTTTGTCACTGACCCGTGCCGCTTATCACGCTACATGTAGAAGAGAAAAGAAGCAAACTTTAGAAAAAATAGAGAAAATAGAGTGGGTATAAAGAGTGATGCCAATTAGCCAGAAGTCGCCATTTGGTGTCCTACATCTGTGTAACGCAATTCCTCAACTTTTTTTTTGTCTTCTTCTAATGGCGTAACCAATCAACGTTAGACGCATGCATTGGCACCATTCTTTTTATACCCACTTTAGAGAAAAAAAAGAACCAAGCGACACAGTTTGTACGGTTCCTATAGTTACCTAGTTAGTTTCTGTGCCGCATACCATGTTACATGTAATTGTGTCATGCTGACACTCAACGCTCATTTTCAGCGGCAAAACAGATCACGTGATTAAAATGGATACTTGGTATTCATCAATTTGATCAAGTGATCTGTTTTGACGCTCGAATCGAAAATGCAATCTGATAGAAGAGAATAGAGAGGGTATAAAGAGAGTGACTCCAATTAGTTGTACAATTAGTTGACTCCAATTGGAGTACATCTGGGGTATCAATATGACGCAATTTTTCGTCTTAGGCCGGAATCAAATTATGCATTGAAGATTGAGATTAAAGATTAAAAATTGAAATTTCATCAATGAGGACAAAGAAATTTTGACTCCTTTTGTTCTGATTGATCAAATATCAATCTTTCAATCTTCAATCTTAATGCGTTATCTGATTCCTTAACTTCTTTCTTTAATGTTGTCTTTTTTTAATTAACAGTAAGGATACCTGGGGCGGTATTCATAATCCGTTCTTATATTCAAAACTGTTTTAAGATGTCTTCTAAATTCATAGTCGAAAAATAAGACGATACTTGAGTAAAATCTCAAGTTAAAACTTATCGAAGATCATCTTAGTTCAAAAGTCTTGAACAGTCTTGACATAATTCATAAATACATCTTGTTTAAAATAAGCATAGACTCTTAAGACTATCTTCTAATTACGAATTCATAGTCATTATAAGACATCTTATTTGACATGTATATATAATAAATAAGACGGTCTTCACCAAGATGTGTTCAAGATGAAATTGAGTAAAAATTAAAAATGTTAAGAAAATCTCAAATTTTCACCTCAAATTTTAATAAAAATACATTGAATAGATGCGTTTTCGCATCTAAAAATAAATATTTGATAATAAAAAAATGTCACTCTATCCCGCGAACCAAGATATTACTCATCAAAATTGACTATTGATTAGGAAATCTGTCATACTTAAATATATCGATGATCATGCGTTGTGATCACGTATGCAAGTTCTTCTCTACTGCAGACTCTTATTTGATTGTACTGAAAAATGATATATTCAATAAAGCAATTAAATAAAGATTCTTGATTCGCTGTTCAAAAATTTGTTGGTAATGCAAAAATATGGCCAAAATTCATACGGGAAATGTTTTGATCGAGATTTAACCGATCATAAACGAATATAATTCTTGTAAATTTTGCCTATATAAACAACATCAAAAGATTTTTTTATATGACATTTTATGTTTCACATTAAAATAAGCATATAAAGCACATAAAAAGTCGGAAACGCGAGAGATTCACGATAAATTTATTTATATTTAAATCGTTAGGTGATATTATTAATTTTAATTATTGGAAGTACAAATTAGTTTGGTCCATTTTTTTGTGCATTTATTTCAAAACAAAATGAATGAACAGATCAATTGAAGTATTGTCCATCGCTGCCTACTACTTTTTCCCATCTCTCAGGCAATTTTCGAATTCTCGAAAAAATGACTCGTCTTTGAAGGTGATTCAATTTTGGAGCCAATTTTCGATTTCTGCGAAAGAAGTGAATCGGTGATTGTTCCTTCGGAACAACCGGTAATCAGAAGGAGCAATGTCCAGAGAATACGGCAGGAGCGGTAAAACATCTCATTTGAGTGTTTCCAAATATTTTTTTACGATTTTAGTGACATGAAGCCGAGCGTTATCATGAAGAAGAATAACTTTATCATGTCTTTGCTCGTATTCCGGCCGTTTTTCTCGCAATGCACGGCTCAAACGAATCAATTGTAACCGATATCGATCGCCCGTAATGAAATTGCCAGGTTTCAGCAGCTCATAGTAAACAAGACCCTTTTGATCCTACCAGATACAGAGCATGATCTTCGAACCATGTTCGACAGTGTTGATGTTGAGGTCGATAACAACGATTGACCGGACTTAGCGTAGTATTTTTTCTTCTTGGAGTTGTCATAGAATATCCACTTCTCATCTCCAGTTACAATCCGATGCAAAAAATCTTTTCTGTGTTGTCTTTGAATCAACTGTTCGCAAGTGAAAAATCCTTTCAACGTTTCTCAGTTTCAGTTCATAAAACACTCAATTTCCTTGTTTTTGAATCATTCCCATGGCTCTCAATCGTACAGAAACGGCTTGTTGAGTTATCAATGATTCTGCAAGCTCCTCTTGCGTTTGATTCTGATCTTCTTCAAGTAATGCCTCTAATTTTTTGTCTTCGAATTTTTTTGGCTGTCCAGAGCGAGGTTTGTCTTCAACGCTGAAATGTCTATTCTCGAAACCATTCCCTACATGATTTATCAGTTGGAGCAGTGTCACCATAAACTTCGATAAGCATTCGATGGGCTTTAGCCGCACTTTTCTTCCAATTAAAACAGAAAATCAAAACCTCCCGCAAATGCTGCTTGGTTAATACAAAATTCGACATTTCAAACACAGTAAAAATCAAGATTTTTGTATGAAACTCAAAACGATATAAACTGAATATTATTAGCAGTTGTTTAACCTCTCTGAAACCGCCAAAATTAGCTGTCACTATGAACCATTCACAACAGCTGAAATCATCTTTAGGGAAACGGACCAAACTAATTTGTACCCCCAATAATAAAAATTTAATAATATATTATAAAACATTTGTAACTTTTTTTAAAATTTATAAGAATTTGGACAACGGAAGTAGCGTTTATAGTTACAGTATTTTAAAGAAAGCTGGATTTAATTCATATAAAAAAATGAAAAAGATATTAATTTTAAATAACTTAAGCTTCTCTGCTTTAAAACAAATTTGCTTTAAAAACACAAACTTCACTGCTTTAAAAATACAAATTATTTTCTTGTATTATTTTAAAGCAGTGAATTTGTGTTTTAAAAACAATGAACCACTACTGTGATAGATTTCTTAATCTAAATAGTCGTCAACTTTAATGATATATTTTGATTCGTGGAACAACGCGACACTTTTTTCTTATCAAATATTTATTTTTACGAGAAAACACATTGATTCAGTATTTTTATCAAAATTTGAGGCGATTTTCTTAACATTTATTACCACCTGCAATTCAGGAAAAATATATACAAGACGGACAAGATAGATCTGTAAAATCCGTTCAACTCTGATGAAAAAATTTTATTGAAATTAATTCTCGTTTTGGAACAGCATTTCAGAAAAAATTCAGTTTAATTTCAGCGATTTTTTATTGAAAAATTTATTTTTAACAAAATTTCAGAGAAATTTTAAGAAAAGTTTCCGGAAAGTTGCTACAGAAGTTCAGAGAAATTTCAATTCAATTTCAACGATTTTTCAATATGTCAGCTGAAAAATTAACTTTCAGTGAAATTTCATTAATTTTTCAATCAACAATTTTGCTAAAATGTTTCAAACATAGAATAATTCCAGCGAAATTTTTTTACCAGGGAACGCACTTCAAGTCGAAATCCAGTCTAATCATACCAAAAATAATATAATAACACATTTCGTAAATTTATATTTCTCAAATGCAGTGTTTCTATTGAAGAATCTAACCAAAATGTTATGGAAACAGCCAAATATCAAATAAATTCATTCTTAATTCCTTGCTCTTTCTCTCCACTCCGTCGTTAAACTAAGAAGATTGAAGAAAAAACAAAGAATGGGGAAAAGACTAAAAATGGCGGATGCGAATATCTATATTATAAGTTTTAGTAAAAGTAAAGAGACTCATGATTCCTACACACAGAACAACGCTTGCCGCGCGACGGAAGTTGGCGCGATAACCAATCAACGTCTCATCAACTTGCTCGGAAGTAATAGATATATAATTTCTACCGCGCGACGAAAGTTGAACTTATGGCTTCTGCACACTGAACGCGGAAACGCTTGCCGCGCAGCAAAATGTGATAGCCAATAAGCTTACTGCTCTTAATGTGTTCATTATCGTGTCTCATTTTGCCGCGCGGCAAGCGTTTCCGCGTCTAGTATGCAGGAGCCATTAATTCAATTTTTGCCGCGCCGCGCGGAAATATTACATCATTTTTGAAAGATGAGACCGACTTAAAAACATAAAATTATTATAACTTCCGCCGCGCGGCAAGCATTGCCGCATTCTGTGTGCAGGAGCCAATAGAGGCTCTTTTCCAGCTAGAACACAGAGACATTACATTGTATTCCACTGTGTAAGGCTGCGTTCGGAAATATCACTCGTGTGTTTCGGTGACTTTAGTGAATAAGTAGTGGGGGTATCGTGTGCCTTGAATGGTGAGTGAAGCCGAACGGCTTCCGTGTGGCGTGTGTCATCTTAATTTCACCTCATCGCTCACGTTTAACCCTAACCTCGAACTAAACAATTCACCAGTGAAGAAAGGCGGTGGAATGATTGTAAAGTGGAACGATAGCGGTATATGATAAAAAGAAAGAAATATAAGTCATTCCTTTCAAATTTCGAATTTCAATTGGTCGATTACCTTATGCTATAACTATGTTATGCAAATCTTTGCTGCGGCCATAACACACTGATTCCCCTTGCTTTTCGAGTGATTTAGTGACACGGTGTGACTCTCTTGATATTTCCAAACGATCTCACTAGTACACCGAGTACACACGAGTATTTCCGAATGGTGATGTGTATTAGTGGCACATCAGTGAGTGTTTCTGAACGCAGTTTAGTTCATAGTGTAATACCAGAATGCATTGCAGTCTTCCATTCTATTCTTGTAATTATATTTAGCATATCAATAATAGATTTATGATTTTTATTTAGACTTAAATTATAATTTTTTTAGAATCGATGATTTTTTGAAGGTTTTATTACAAAATAAGTACAGCCAAATAACTTTTTGAAAAGTTGATAACATTGACATATTTTACACGCTCGTATTTAGTTTTTTACTGTGTCGAGCAGTGTAACATACTGTGTTGTAGTTGAAACACTTTGAGAGTGCGTTCTTGCATGATATGCATAGAAGCATAGAAATTCGTTCTGTTTCTCTTTATGCACACTCGCGGCATGCATGATTCAATCTACCGTCAATTGCATGATTCCGCCTCTTTCAATGCATGAGACACCGCATGAAGTGCTTCATCTTTCGAGCTGAGGCAATTCATGCAGCTTATACATTCAATACATATTTTAGCGCGAAACTGAAATTATGGATGGTTCGACTGGGGCGAGTGTACTCGAAGGATTAAAGATAAGTACGGTGTTCAGAATACCTAAAAAATTTTTTAAATTTAACATTTCATATATACATATATAATGTATATACGATATAATACTCTATTATCGAAAAATTATACGTATACTAATGTTATGAAAATTTCGGTTGAATACCGGTATTTATTGGATTAATATCCAATACTGGTATTTGGTATTATATCTCGGTTTTGCGTATATAGCTATAGAATATCAGTTTTTAGTTTCTGATTTATATAATACTGTGAAAAATTAATATTGATATATTACCGCTATTTTTTATATCGTTTTAAATTTCTGAATATGAAATAGTAGATTATGATAGAGGTTAAGTTTACATTAGTCATATCCTTACAAGAAAGGTACAGGAAATAAAAATAACGGATTTTAAGGATGTTTTGTATGTATAATTGTAGCAAAAAATTTTTCAAATTTAATTTTGAATGCAGAAATGTATTTTTGAATTTCTGTTGCTAATTATTTCTGAAAAAACTGAAAAATTTTTGACAGTATCTCAAATCTAACCTTAAAATCTTTATATAATATTTTAAACTCTTATAACTTCAAGTTGCTTCACAGTGAATCGATTTCGGATTTTGTTGTAAGTATCTGAACATATATAAGAATAATCTGTAAAATTTTTGTTTAATTTCTAATATTTTAGAAATAGATATTAAACGTCCTTTTTGGACAGTTTGGTAATACGTTTTATTTTTCTTTTCCTACAGAATAAGATTATAAGTGTTGCTCGAAAAATATAAATCTTCTTCTTTTGTCAAAAAAGAAGATGTAACAGTAATTATTGAATGCATTTGTAATTCAGTCAATTTTAAATTGTCGTCTATGTTCACATGAATTCATTATGCATGAATTCATTGTGAATCCGCTACGTTATTAAAACCGCACGGAGTGTATTGGAGAAACGGAACGTACGTTGCATTCATGCATTAAATACTCGTGCACTTCATGCAAGAAATGAAACGCACCCACAGTATTACACTGTGTTACCTGTGTACGTTGTTGGAAAACATCCAAAATTATTGATTAGCGATAACTTCCATCGCGTGACAAGCGTTATCGCATTCTGTGTGCAGGAGCCATTAGAATGCTGTTCCATGAGCAGAAATTTACAGCGGAACAAAACAACGCGATCAATCACAACTCTGCAGTCGTTACTTTCTTTTCTTTTCTGCGATTGTGATTGGTCTTACTGTTGAATGGTACCCTTACAGGGAGAGAGTGGCAAATTGCATTACATGAAAGCCCACGTCCAATTAGGACAAGGGTCATGTAATTTTCTCCAATGGATATTTTTCATTTAATGATACAAGTTGATACAGGTATCGTTCTGTTCTTGTTGACATTCAGAGAGTAGCCTAGTTTCTACCGAGGATTTAATCCGGATCAAAATGTAAGAGTCAACCAACTACAATCGAGTATTCCCCTGTTACAGTCGAACAATAGGGGAATGCTCAACAACAATGGGGTGTGACAACAGTTTTTTAGAAGCAGTAAAAATCCATTTGTAATTTGAGTGTAAGGATAGTATTTCTAATTTCTGAATCCGTAAGATTCAGATTTTCTTACATATCTGCAATTATAATTTGGTTTTCGCACTTCAAAAATCAATAAAAATAGGCTTTCTCACATTCTCAATGTGATCCTCACATCCCCAATTCCAAATGGATTTTTATTGCTTCTAAAAAGACTATTATCACACCCCACTGTTTTCACTGGATTAGGAATATTCCAAGCGGACACTGTCTAGGCTATAATTTCTAGACGGTTAGGCCTCAAGCGGCTAGGATATGTTATTTTTTTTGTTCTGGGCGGCGTAGCCGCTCCGATCTCAAACGTTACTGTCTACACACTCCATTATCCACGTGAGTTATGATTTATTTGAAACAGAATATTGTGTAATATATCTATGTATAATAGAAACATTGCACGAGTAACATTAATTTCTTAATTTGATTGTTTAAATTGTGGATAATTATTTAAAATAGCATACTCCATCTAAAATCTTAATGAAAATACACTCATCGCGTTTTCATTCAAAATGAAAGAATCTTGCAAAAAAATACCGGCGGTCGGTCTCGTGAACCGAGATATTAAGCGTCAAAGAGATTTTAGAGGTTAAGACATCTGTCATTTCGACTCGCTGTAGCGCTACATATATGTAAGATCTGTTCTTTTTTGAAAAATTCTGAAATAGTGCAATAAGTTAGAGACAATTGTAGTTTGAAGCATTTTCATCTGATTAGTCTATATTTTAGGATCTAATGGAACATGCCAATCAAATGAAAAAACTCACTAAGCAGTCAGTAAGCGGTTGTCGTTCTGGAATGCATACTTTTCTATAGATTGATTTAATCGTAATAAATAAAATGGCATATTCAGTAGAACAATTGAATAAAAATCGTTGACTTGCTGTCCAAGATGTAATTGGACACAAAATTATGACCGAGGTTTATCCGAAAATTATTCCGGGATCGCAACTTAACCAAACAAATAATTCTCGTAAATTTCTCTTTTGTAAATGCAATATCGGAAAATTTTTTTACATGACATCTTATTCTTTACATTAAAAAAAATATAATTCACTACAAGTTTAATCATTATTTAAATCATGAGATAATATCATTAATTTTAATTAACGAATTAAGTAATAAACATTTGTAACATTTTGTAACATTTTGTAAAATTTTAATCCATATAAGAAAAATCAAAGAGATATACATTTTAAATAATAAGCTCTATTCTATGCTTTAAACACAAAAGCACTATTTTAAAAACAATAATTCATTGCTTTAAAAACAGTTTCACTGTCTTAAAAATAACAATTCATTGCTTTGAAAACAATTTACTGCTTTAAAAATGATAAATTCACTATTTTAAAAATAATTCACTGCTTTAAAAACAATAATTCGTTGTTTTAAAAATAATTCATTGCCTTAAAAACAACAATTCACTGCTTTAAAAATAATAATTCACTATTTTAAAAACAATTCACTGTTTCAAAAACAACAATTCATTACTTCAAAAATAATTTACTGCTTTAAAAACAATTCGTTGTTTAAAGAATAATTTACTGCTTCAAAAACAATTCACTGCTAATGCAAAGAATTTATATGTTTAAAATAGTATATTTCTGTTTTTAAAGCAGTGTTTTTAAAGCAATTGTTATTTTTAGAGCAGTGAATTTTTTTTAAAGCAGTAAATTATTTTTAAAGTAGTGAATTGTCGTTTTTAAAACGCTCCAAACTATAACTGTCTTACTCTAACTTATTGCACTATTTTAGAAGCACTTTTTCTTCGAAAAAGAACAGATCTTACGTATACGTAGCGCTGCAGCGAGTCGGAGTGACAGATATCTTAACCTCTAAAATCTCGAACTTTCACACTTAATATCTCGATTCACGAGGATAACCGCGTTTTTCTATCAAATTCTTTCGTTTTGAGTGAAAATGCGTCGAATGAGCCTAATTTCATTAAAATCGAAGGTAAGATAGCTATTCTAAATAATTACTCCCTACTACTACTGTAAATAATTATCCTATTTTTTAATCTCAGGTCCGATCCATTGGTCGAAGGATTTATGAAGCGGTATTATAAGTTTAGAGATAATTTAGAGAAAAAAATTTCTGTGTACAAATCATGTATAAAACATATCAAAGGATGCTATCTGCATTACTGTATTATAAAGGAATCATAAGGGGCATAACAAACACTTTGATGCGAAAAAATTTCCATTATGTATTGAGCTACGTTTTCCTTGAATATCTGCACCACAGATTTCAAAGATTGTTAGGACAAACTCTCAAGTGGGTCACATTGCCAGATGTAGCTTTAAAATTTATGCTGGACGATTTGAAAACATGGAATGAATACGTTGATTGTCATTCTTGTGCAATAGCAAATTTACAGAAAAAATTGTCAAGTTCCTGGTTCAATGTTTGCTCAATGATGTCAATGACAAAATATAGATTAATGATTATATCCGTGCCAGATATTAGCAAGAATACTATCCTAATCTCTGAAACAACAAAGCGCAATCTCCAAAACGCTCTTCGCTGCAAACAATTGGACAACTCGTGTTTTATACGTAGGTATTTACAATTTACCAAATTATTTGAATTTTGAATTTTGAATTTTAAACTGTTCACATCTTTTAAAACATCTTTGGTGTTATCAAACTCAATGAAAATAACATTGTAATGTATAAGTTAACATTTGTATTTCTGCACAAATGTAATTAAATGTTAAAGTAACAGATTGAAGTAATAAAAAGATATATTTCATATGAAATGATATTCAAAATAATCTGCCATATATTATTTAATATTTTAACTGATATTAATTAATATTTTGCTAAGATGTAGATTTAACAGTGAAAATTTCCTCCAGTGTAAACATAAAGAACAAATTAAATCCAATAATTAATGTTTAATGGCCATATTCAGCAAAATATTTATTTTTGCAATTATTAATCCTCAGTACCTACAAACGGTTAGCTCCCTCCCTCCTCTCCCCCCGATTTTCACAATTCAGATGTTTTTTTCCAATTCCTTTTCACTTATTGCAAAATCTTCTGTGCTATGATATTTTAGATTTTCTAACTCAAAAATTTTTTTCAGTCTTTTTTTTCAGTTTTTTTTCAGTCTTCAAACAATAGATTAAAAAAAAATTAGTTAAAATCGATGTACTACAATCTGAGATACAAGCAAAAAAAAATGCTGAATTACAAATATGCAGATGTGAGTAGACTTTTTTGAGATGTGGGTATTGAGGGTTAATAATTTCTTCACTTTTTAATTGACATATACTTTCCCTCGCGATTTTCAATATTTCTCATATGGTTGATCAACGACGTGCATCGTCAAATGCTCATAAGTTAATGATGTAATTATTATAAACTACAATTTGTTTTCAGTACCATTAGAAGATGATGTGATCGAGTTTGCATCTGAGGCGAGAATATCTTTAATCGCTAATCCGTACGATTGCACGACCGAAATCGTGGACGTTATGCTACAAAATTACTTCTTACATCCCCGATTTTTACATGTGAATGACATATTTAGAATCGACGCGAAGGAATATGCCCAAGATCAATTTTATTCGTCCGGTTTTGCTGGAATCCCTGTGATGTATTTTACAGTTCAAGCTTTGAAAGTAAATCGTAATGGGTGCAGCAATAGCTTTAATAGTTGTTACGTTGTACGTGGAGAGTCAGCACTCATTCAGGAAGCACAAGTTCACGATTATATCCCTCAGGAACGTGTTTGTTCACTTTGCAATACATTTTTACAGCAAAACAAAGCATCAAACCACAAATATCCGTCAGCTCTAATGGATTCCTTGGAACATTTAGAATCTTGCATTACATTATTTTTAAAAAAGGGTATAATTTTTGCGTTTACTTAAATTAATTTTTTCTTTATTTACGAAGAGTAATAATGTTCACTATAATGAATACTATCGATATACTTATTCCTTATTTTTTGTTTTATTTTTTGTATAGATCTTGCAAATATTCAATTGAACGTAAGACCGATATTTCTTGTGAAAGGGCCACGGGGTTGCGGTAAACATAATTTAGTTCGAGCAATATCCAAGAGAATAGGATTGAACTTCCTCGGTGTTGACTTTGTGGAAGTGCAGACTTTGACATCGGCGCAGACCGAAGCTAAGCTTCGCATAATGCTACAAAATGCACAAAAATGCGTGCCATGTATACTATATTTAAATAATATTCAAGTACGTAAAAAAGTAACATTGTATTAAATTGTATCTTATATTTTTCCTTTCGATTTTATGAGTTAAACGGCGTTTTCGCAGAAATTCGGTAAAACTATCGAAGGTCAAAAAGACGAAAGAGCCATATCCTTCTTCTCGACAGAGATCACCACATTATACAACAGCCGCCGAAGATTTCCTCTAATTATCATAGCTGCGTCGGATGAGACTGACATACCTTCTGAATTGCAACGGTTTTTTATCGAAACGATTCATGTAAAGCCTTTAAATCAGAACAAACGAGCGGAACTGATATCTTGGCTGCTGTTCAACAGAAATCTAAAAACTATTGCGGATTTGTCAAAAGTGGCTGGTCTTTGTTCAGATTTTAAAGTCGCGGATCTATTAGCGTTGTCATTACATGCAACCAAATTTCGATGCAAATTAATGTCTCACGCAAATCAGAGATGCACGCTTACTCTGGAACAAGAAGATTTCGATCGAGCTTATGGTATAATTATCTTACAATCGATTCTAATAAGATCAAAAGAGATTGAGCAATTTATCGAGCAATTATTATATCTTATCTAAAGATGTTCACTGTTCTTTGAATAATGTAAACATTAAAAAACGTACTCCTAAATTTTAAGCTCTTATATTAGATATTTTTAATATACAGGGTATATAAAATCTGTCATCATTTCTATATTTTAAAAAAGAATCGACAGGTTCCAAAGAATAAATCAAAGAATAATAATGCCTATTACAGGAGCTGATTACAGGACGTACGCGTATGTAATTTGAATTTATTCAATTAATATTAATAGACATTTTGATCCTAATTCGGATTCTTCTCATTAACGCAAAACAATTATTGAAGTACAATTCGATAATTTCATCATACAGTTAAAAAATGAAATTAAGAAACCGAATTCTGCGACGTGTATACTCTTAAGAGGATCGGGAAGGTTGTCTCCTCTTCTTCTCAAGGAGGTGCTCCAGACAGGAGGCTCCAATTTAAAAATTTCAAATGGAACCCTCTTAAGTTGGAATCCCCCTGAGGCACTCCCTGGAGGAGAGAGGCAACTTTTTCGAACCCTTTAAAAGAGTAGCCTCTCAAAATAATCGAACATATTTCGCGGTTTTTCATAATTTTGAACCGTTTCCAAAATATAGAGATGATAACAGATTTTATAGACACTTTATATTTTTTCTTCATATAACAGAGATTTGGTCTTGCTGAAGTTGGAAGTAACATTTTGCTTCTTGTGCGAATAATAAGTATAACAGAAAAGTATTTTCAGAATATATGCAGTCTGTGTACTTCGATAGTAAAGGCGCTCCACACATACCAGAAGTTCATTGGGAGGATATAGGCGGTTTGGCGGATTTGAAACACGAGATTATTCGTAAAATTCAGTTGCCTCTGTTGAATGCTTTTGGATTCGGACAGTCTGGATTACTATTATATGGCCCGCCCGGCACTGGAAAGACTCTTCTCGCTAAAGCGGTGGCGACGGAGTATCAGATACACTTTCTGTCAATTAAAGGCTCGGAAGTGCTAAATATGTACGTCGGTCAAAGCGAGAAGAACGTAAGGCAAAGTATGTATTGCTTAGAAGAAACACAAGATAGGACTGTAATAAAAATATGTAACAAAGAATTAATTATTTGCTTCAATCAAGTTGCAAATTAACATTATTTTCGTTGTTTTATAGTTTTCAAGCGCGCGCGATCCGCGGCCCCTTGCATCGTCTTTTTCGATGAGCTGGACTCGTTAGCGCCCAACCGAGGTAGAAGCGGGGACAGCGGCGGCGTAATGGATCGCGTGGTTTCCCAGTTACTGGCCGAAATGGATGGCCTCGAGGAGTCCGGCAATATATTTATTATAGGAGCGACGAACAGGCCCGATCTCATAGATCCCGCGCTGCTCCGACCGGGAAGATTCGACAAAATGCTCTACGTTGGTATCCATTCTGACTCCGAATCTAAGTTCAGCGTATTAAAGGCACAGACACGTAAATTCATGTTCCAAGAAAATGGACATGAGTTGAAACGAATCGCGGACCAATTGCCCGATAACGTCACTGGTGCGGATTTGTACTCTGTCTCTTCCAACGCGTGGCTCAATGCCGTACGCGAGGTACTTGCAAAATATCAGGAAACTGAAAGAATCAATAAGGATTATTCCGTCGAAGAGGAAGATATAATTAAGGACAATGTTATCGTGGAATTGCGTCATTTTTCAGATGCTATTTGTAACTTGGTGCCTTCAGTCACTGATGAAGAAATCAAAAGATATAATAAAATGCGAGTAGAGTTATCATCGTTGTAATTCCGGAATCGTTTCTAGTAGTATAAAATATATTATTATCTTACGGTTTTCGAGAGTCATTTTAAATGACTCTGAAAATTTTTTTTAGAATTTTATCAATTGTGGAACACTTCAGAAATACTGAAAAAGATTACATCTTTTCTAAAAATTTTTCATATATGTAAATTCTGAAAACATTCTAAAATTTCTCACAGTCTACAATTAAAAAGAAATGAACTTTTTCAGGTTCTATAAGATTTTATCAGAAATTATAGAATGAGAAATTTTAGAAATCTTAGAAGCTTTCAGAATTCACGTATGAAGAATTTAAAAAAAGATATAGGCATTTTCTCGACATTTTTTGAAAAGTATTATAATTTGTATAAAAAATCTGAAATTTTTTAAAGTTATAAAATCATTAAAAACAAAATTATAAATTATAAAATTTACACAAAAGTTCTAAGAAATGATATGAAAGATTCTGAGAAAAATCATCAAGAAAGTAACCAGTGGAATTGATTATTATCTACAGTGATAAACTTGAATGTGTTTATAATGGATTTTATCTTGTGCCGAAGTTTTTAATTTTTATAGATCCTAGAACTGGAAAGGATACAGGAGTTGCAGAAGAATATAACGTCGCGCAAATAATATAATATCTATGAAGTATGGAACTTCTTTTTATTCACTAAAACGCCCTTACATGTTTCGGCTCATTTTTGAGCCTTCCTCAGAGACAACATAAATTAACATATATAAAAACTGTGTGTAAAAGTTATCCTATCATGAGCTTTCCTACATCGAGAATTCAAATGTTAGAATTAAAACCAAAAAGAGTGAAAAAAAAAGGAAAAGAAAAAAGAAAAGAAATTAGGAAATATCGTAAAATAAAATATGGAGAACTAATTTATCAAACAATTTTAAGATTATAATTAATTATCCAGCAAATATAAGAATGCTCACCATGCTCACAAAGCACCATATCGCAAATATTACTATAAAATAGTTCAACTGGCTCCTGATAACTTGGCAGTCAGTATCAGACACAATGAGTGACTTTTTATTTAGCTAGTAATTTTCCGAGATAACAAATGGAAAAATTAAAGCTTTAATCAATTTCAAGAACAAAAAAATTGGAAAGTAATCGATAAATACACCAGAAAAACTTATTACTGCGTACGAACGATATACTAACTAGATGTGACTACAATTCAAGCCTTTATGGCTTGTCTATGATCGGTAGACTTGGGAAACCCCTTCATATCCGTTTGAGTCTATTTTCTGATTAATATTTCCGAAATCAATCTCTTCCTCTAGTGAAACTCCTCGTTCAATATTGTAACGTTGTCCCAATTGAAATCGTAATCGACGCTCCGTTATGACATTACGAATATTCTATCAGATGTGGTTCTTATGCTCCGTGATTTTTGACCTCACGTCTATACGTTTGTCCCACATAACTTGCATCGCAACTCTTATATGAGATCTTATAAACAACATTCGATTTCTTATTATGCGGTAAAGGGTCCTTATGCACTCTGAATTCTCGTAATTTATTAGTACTATAAACGATATCCTCATACGCTGGCTATTCAATCTAAATTTCTCAGTAATTCCACGAACGAAAGGAAAAGTGAACCACAAAGGTTGCATTACTTCAATCCTATTATCATTAACAACACTCTTCCTATTACTAGTAATAATTTTCTTCAAACGATTGTTAATATTCTCAAATAAATAAAATTCAATGGGTAATCATTCTTTAACAATAATAATGAAACACAAATTATCAAGGTGAAATTTAGGATTCAAAAGCAAAATTATTCTGCCAATTGTACCTATTCCCGCGATTGTACCTATTTTTTGAGAAACCGGCTGCTGTGACCAAAAATTCATATATCTATCCGAAAAAGTCAACTTATAATATCAACTCATTCTATTAATAAACTTATTATTCCTAATTCTATCAACTCATTATTCCTAATTACTGTAACATCCAAAAAATTCAATCTATCACCTCCAAAAATTCAATCTATCATCCTAACCTCCAGAGTAAACTGAAGCTTAGAATGTTGAGAATTAAAAATATCAAGAATGGAACTAATTGAAGATACATATATTACCAATAATATGTTGTCAACAAACTTAGTAAAAGAGCAACAGAAACCGAATCAAAAACAAAATTCTAACCTCCAGCTTTCGCATAACTAGATCCGTGACGACGAGAGACAACGGAGAGCCCATAAGAGTCTCGTAATTCTGCCTATACATAACATTATCAAAAACAAAAAAAGTAGAATCTAAAACAAACTGAACCGCTTTGATGAATTCCTCTCCGATAAATAACAATCTCTAGAAATAAATTGCTAATGGTCTTTAATACAGCGCATAGTTAGTGGGGACGTTAGTGAAGACGCTCACAACATCCAGTGACATTAACTGAAATTCATCACTCAAACGTCTCTCTTTACCAAGTTCCTTAACAAGTTTAAAATTATTTTCGATATGATTATCTGCCTTAAGAATTGTTTTTATAATAATATTATGAAGAAACTGCTAACGAATGTAAAAGGCTATTTATCGAAGAAACTATTATACGAAAGGGGAAGTCCTACTTATGTATCACTAAAAGTCACTGTGTCTGATACTGACTGGCCAACATTATCAGGAGCCGGTTCTGAATTTATTTTTATGGCAATATTTGTGATATGGTGCTCTGTGAGCATGGTGAGCGCTCTTATATTTGCTGGATAATTAATTATAATCTTACAGTTGTTTGATAAATTAATTCTCCATATTCTATTGATTATGATATTTCCTAATTTCTTTTCTTTTTTCTTTTCCTTTTTCTTTCATTATTTTTGGTTTTAATTCCGACATTTAAATTCTCGATATAGAAGAACTCATCATGACAGGATAACTTTTATTCACAGTTTTTATATGTTAATTTATGTTGTCTCTGAGGAAGGCTCACTTTTGAGCCTTCCTCAGAGACAACATAACTTCCGAAACATGTAAACGTGTTTTAGTAAATAAAGAAGTTTCACACTTCATAGATATATTATTTGCGCGACGTCTTCTGTGCTTGACTCTTACCCGTATCCTTTTCAGTTCTTTGATTTATCAGGAGTCTTGATTTGTTAGTTTGATTTGATTGTTATATGAACTTATAGATCACGTTGTATACTGAATATAATGTATCTAATGTTTATGTGTATATGATTTACCTATAAAAAAATACAATTTCGCGAATAAAACAACGCGTGTGTTACAAACGACATATTATTTTATTTTGAGAAGTTATGTAAAACAATTTTTACAACGAATAATTAAAATGAAGAAGGAGTCAAACTACACTCGTTATGTGTTATTTTCGTTTCATATCAATATGAATATTTCTTCGTGTATTTATGTCAAATCCTCAAATGTTAGCGCACGATAAGAAACGCAAAAGTATCAGAATTCTCATCTCATTATTTTCGAGACACCGCTATGAAATATATCTTGAGCGCTTTTTATGCGTGCGTTCAATACATTATGCAGTACACGACCAGAATATGCAATGTAGAAAAATAGGACATCTAATTTTATCAAATACACCCGTGTGGTTGCCGAATGCGAACTATGAAGGCTAAAATTCCTCAGAGGTGGAACGATATTGAAACTGATGCGATTAGGTGCACAATAGAAAGCGAATAAAAGTATCAGGTGCATCGGTTCTCATGTCGTACAGGATCGCATGATGATACTAGTGATTCTTTCGACAATGATCGTCACTCAAGATGAATTGTGCTCGCTTTTTGTGACAGCGCGACGCAAAGGAATCTCCATAATAAGGAAGAAATTCAACAAGAGCACGAATATCGTATCTAAATATATAATAATTATATAAATATATAATTATACTACACACGATGGTTCGTCTTGTTTATGTGCATATGTACTTTTTATGTGTATGGTCTCTTGTTTATGTGTATATGTATTTGTGACTCCTCTCTTCTCTCTCTGCGCGCGCACATGTGTGTGTGTGTGTGTGTGTGTGTGTGTGTGTGTGTGCGCGCGCGCGTCAAAAAGATCGTAAAACGCGTTTAAAGCAATTACACATCTATAATGTTTTTCAGATAATTACATCGTATACCTTTGGTATCATCGCGAGGTAGTAATTATAACTTTTCGTGCAACTGTTTCGCGGAACAGACGCAGAATGGTTGCATTGTCGTTTCAGAATTGATACGCAAAGCCTCCTTGTTGTCATCACGATGAATCGCTTTTGCAAGCTGAATGCTTTGGCAAAGCCACGCAGCAGCACCATTAGAAGCTCTATACAATAACAGGAACAGAGAACAGAGAATAAGAAACCTATTAGAAATCGTGTATTATGGAACACAGTTTCTGACAGGTGAAATGAAATTCTTATTCTGTTTTTTGTGCTCTTTCCTGTTCTTTTTATTATGCGGAACCCTTTTTATCTCATCGTTCATGTGATTTGCCTCATCGCAAAACAAAATGATTGCATTATGTTTGAGAATCTACCGCAAGGCATAAATGAATGTAAAGCTTGGTGTATCTCGTTATGGTTCTTTCGATTTAACGCGACCGTCACAACTTCAACTCGTCTTCGCCAAATACGCCTCGTTATCGTCTGAACACTATTGTAATTATTCTCATTTTCGAATATTTTCCATTATAATCCATAATATATACGCTCTTACAGTAAATACATCTGTAACTCTTCGATTGAGTTCGCGCGCGAATGCGTTTCATCCTGAGGTCGTCGAGAGCTGTGAACTTTTGATACGTCGCTTCGGTATGTCGCTTCTCTATGTTCGGTTTCAAATTCGATTCTGATTTTTTTATTTCTTCCTCTTCTCTACATTGATACTCAGCACGGTGAGAAGTCGACAAGTATCACACACGATATAGATACGTAATTGTGTAAGTGTGAGTCGAAAAATGAAAAGTTCCGCGTAGATTTGGAGATGCCAAATCTTGTGCGCATTACTCTCTAAGGCTAACGGGTGTCTTAGCATAATTCTTTCAGCTAGAATAAAAAATCACGAATGTGAATTAACAATTTTATACATCTGAATCGTTATTTTGTTGCTTTTATCCTCTCCGAAGTATCTTGCGTGTGTATAAATCACACAGCTCTAACATGTGGAGGACATTATACATAACATACATCAAATAGCAATATACACACACACACACACACACACACACACACACACACACACGCACGCACGCACGCACGCACACACACGCACACACACACACACACACACACACACACACACACCTAGGTATGAGAAAAAGTTCGTGGCGTTTTTCCCGTTAGATGGCATTAAAAAAACGCCGAACTTTTTCCCATTCCTAATATACACATATGTGTGTGTGTATTTGTGTGTGTGTGTGTGTGTGTGTATGTGTATAACTATTTTAATTTAATGAGGGAACAGTAGGAATTACAAAATTAAGTGCCAGGCATTTTTCGTCTAATATACTTTCCATCAGTACTATCGTTATACATTTATACAGTGAAATGATCTAGCGAACCGATGCTCTATGTATAATTATATCTGAAATGTGTGTGTGTGTGTGTGTGTGTGTGTGTGTGTGTGTGTGTGCGCGTGCGCGTGCACATGTGTACATCGGTTAAACGGTAGAACAATTTGTATTGCCTTCGATTGAATAATTTCGCAATTTCTAAACACGTTTCCTGGAACAACGCGATATCTCGAATCACGTGTTCGTTGCATGAAATATTCTGTATAATACAAAATGTGAAAAACGAGCGACCGAAGACTTTCGAGGAGCGCTTTCAGACGTATATACATACGTACGTGTAAGCGAAATCTTATAGTGCGCAAATATATAATTAATCTTTATCTTAAGTATATCAAGGAACGAAGTAATAACTACGCTCAGGAGAGAGATTACTATAAGGAGAATACGGGACACGTGTTATTTTGCTCGTGCTATGTATGTTGGTTTGTAAAGAAATACTTCGGCAGACGTAAGTTGTCTTTGGTCGCTTTTATTTACATCTTGCCGTTCATGTGCCATGTATGGCGAAATCACGCGTAGACAATCTCCTATACGTCAGGAAACGAAAACGTTTGAAATTTATGGTTGAAGAAAATCAATATGTAACGAGGAATAATCCGTGAAATCTGTGTTCCGATGTTTTCAAAGATGCTTCAAAAGCTCTCCCATTCCCAGTTTCTCTCCATCGGTGACTCGGCGCTCACTGTCTGCAAGGCAAGCGTATCTCTCCCACTCACAGTTCGAAACATAAAATGGAACACCGCTGATAACGTATTAACCGTGAGATCGGTGAGAATGCGCGATGTATGTCTGTGAATCATCGTATCAGAGGTGGGACTTACAAAAGTTCGCACGCGTTCTCTGTCAAAAATACCGTCTAGCAGGTAAGGCCAGTCATGAGACTTCAGTGTTCGGCCCTGCAATCAGATCAATCATATATATTTTCTCAAATTGCAATCATTTTCGATTATGTAAGCTGATATTTTAAATACATGACACATGAAGCGTAAAGAACGACACCAATATAAATTAATTTATTCGGACTATATTATCCAAGTGAAGTGATTGTTATTCAGCAATTATTATTATAGCCGATTAAGATACTCTGAAGAAACCGAGAGGAAAGTAGAGAATCTCTTTGAGAATCATTCATCATGTCGTTCATAGTGCCTCATATTCGCCAACATGCATATTTGTTGCGACTGATGTCGTTTAATTGTACCTGGTCAGGAGGATTTTGTGGCAAATTCATGCAATATGTCACATGCCATCTCGAGATCGTTCCTGGTGATGCCGAGTGCCCTAATCACGGCGTCCTGCGCGAAACCGAGCGCCGTCAGCCTTGTGATATGCTCGACATTGACATTCTCGTACGCCGCCGATTCCGGCTTGGTTATCGGTCCACCACCCGGATCATCTCTTGTTCTCATCAGTGCCGTGAGACGTGCCCTGTTTGCTTCCAGGTTAATGTTCTTTACAACATGTTGACTCGTACCGCAGATCACAATCGTGTTCTCATAATGATGGTCTTGACGGATGCCACCTTCCTTGCTAGTCTTCGGTGGCCGTGGTGCTGACAAAGGCGGCGGTACAGGAGGCACGTTGTTACTTGGACCTCCAGTTTGACTCATTGTCGAGTTGGTTGCAGTGACGCGACATGCTTTTTCTGGCAATGTCGGCGGTGGCTGCGATTGTCGTTGCGGGGTGCCTGTCGCGTGATTCCCGTAGGAACGTCGTGGATGAACTTTCACCACCGTCGTTGATGGCACAGGCGGTATTGGCGGCACTGACGACGGCGAAGATGCGCGGTGCAGCATATCGTATCTCGCCTCTGTGTTCACTGAAAACACTCGACATTTTTATCTTGCCTTCCGAAGATCACGACTTAATGCGATTTATGTCTATATTGCAACAAACTGACTTTTTTTACAATTCTTAATCCGAAAGTAGTTACCTGACTTTTTTTAATATAAATGATCATCTGGGATATTTTTTACTCCAATTAAAATTACTGTTATTAACAACATATATATTCAGCATATTCTAACATTTAGTAACATCTTTTTAACATGATGCTTGATAGAATATCAAATTAATAAAAATTGCTTGTCAATTTAATTCGCGATATTAGTAATTCAATTGCGTTTATAAATCCGAAAAACTAATTCGGTGCGCAATTCAAATGGCCACAAATGATATATATGCAAGTACATATATAGTATATATAGTAATTCAGATTAAATTATTTAAACATTAAAGATCTCGCTTTGATCTTTACAGCCATTACTTCTATTTCTTATTATTGAATGTTCAAATGAATTTACTGGATTACTCGGTCCAGTAAAATTCTTATTATTTATACATATAATATTATCATTTTCCTATTAGTACTGAGAACATTATGCATGTGAATTTAATCAAAATTTTCTGATATGTAAGATATATAAAGTAGAAATCAACAGAAACAAATATTAAGCAAAATATTGAGCATATATATATATAT